ATGGAGAGAGGCACTTCCTCAGCCAGCCCCTTTCACCTGCCTGGTGGTTCTGTCTCTTCTCTGTATGATTTTATGAGAAGCAATCCCATTCCAGACACATCCCATTTTCCTGGCACCACTAAATCCTGACCTTGCTTTAAATTATGAGAAGAGGAAGCTGTATACAGAATTTGGTGATCCAAGCTCTTACCATTTAGGAGGAGTTCTTGAACAAACAGACACACAAACAGACAACCTCTTGCAAATATGTAGTATAATAGCTTTTGGTTGTTTTGGCCCCCCCTTGTGAGGAGCCTACCTCTCCCCATTCATTGTATAGGGAGTCTAGGTTCTCTGGGAATCCCAGTGAATTTCTAGGCATCTTGAAAAATTAATGATGGCGATCTCAATTTTTTGCTAACCTAGACCTAGTCTCTCTGTGTGTCAGCCTGTAAAATAGCACTTCCCTACCTCGTAGGGGCATTGTGAGAATAAGTACATTAAAAATTGTGAGGCATTCAGATACTACAATGATGGGAGCTATATAAGTACTTAAAATAAATAACCCAATAGTGGTTTTAATCTTGAACGTGTGACTTGCTGAAAAAAAATGAAAATGTGTGACAGCATACAAAACAGATGCTGCTATAGTACAACTAGGTATTTATAGAGAGTGGTTTTAAGCAGATTCCCACTAGGAGTTTAACTATTTGTGTCAGCAGAACTAAATTTCAGGCTCAGCAGAAGGATAAAGCAAATAAAAAGAAAACATTGAAACAAAGTCAAGTGAGCCCCTTCTGGGGGTAAGAAGCTAAAAGCAATAGAGGAAGGATCCTTGGCAAAATGCCAGAAAACTAAGGTCTACGAATACAACAGGAAAATAACAGAAAAATGTGTAATGTTCACTCCTATGAATTGAACAGGAGAGGGAAAAAAAAGAAACTAACTGCTGGCTAACTGTGATAAAAAGCCAAAAAGGTGTCAAAGGTCAAAACAGCTGACCATAGAGAAGAGAAACAATAACAGTCTAGTGATCACACAACCAGATAAAGAATATAAATGGCATTCATGAAGAGAGATAGCAGGCCAGGAATAACGAGATTCCAGATCTGTTAAAGTAGATGTAGCTTTACTGTGGAAGTCTGCATGCTTGATGTATATGTAAGTAAGAGTGTGCAATGCCTGTGTACCAGTGAGAGTGTGCATGTGTGATGTATATGTTTGAATGATCATATGATGTATGCGTGTACTTGGGATACTGGGCCTTCAAATGTTTTAAAAATTAATGGAGCATATACTGAGTACATAGTGTACACAACTTTCTAATACTTGTCATTTTGATTTCTTCTTAAACAAATATTCTTCAGACCTGTCAAAGACAGAACTTGTCCTCACTGAAGACAAGTTTAAGACAAGTTTGAAATTTACACAAATATACATTTCTGATTGATCCAAAGATCTTCTCAAATAAAATTTGAAAAAGCCCCCCTCATTCCATCCCTTACTCAAAAGTAAAATTGATCAAACTTATTCCTGCATAGTTGTAAGCAACTAAAACGTTAAAATCAAGATGTTGAGGGGAGGAGTTCATTCGGGGCTGAAACTTCTCCCAGTTTTTAATTGACCTTGTGAAAGCAATTTCTACTCCAATTCAAAGACTGTCCGCTTTGGATCTTTAACACAGCTATCTGAACTAGTTTTCTGCAGGGTTTAAAATAAGTTCAGATTAAATTGGTTTAAACACAATTATTGAACATGATTTCCAAAGGTACGGAGGATCAACAACTCCTCTTGGTTTCAGCTTGAACTCTGGGAGCTCAACATCCATGCAACCTAGGAGCAGGTTGGCTGGTCAGAGTGACTGGGATATAATTTCTAAATATGGGTCTTATCCAATGAGAAAAGTGCAAATGCTGTGTGGACACTTTTATTGTTTGCTTGTTTTGGGATAAACCACATTTGTTTCAGCTTAAATTAATTATAGTATTTGGAAGATTCATGTTGATGGGTTGTAAACGGATTAAGATTTAATTGGTTTAAGACCATGTTTAAAACTAGAGGTGGCAACATGCTTCCTAGTCCAGTGTAGAGTGATCCTAAATGTGAGTATCATATCAACATAGAGCAGCTCTGGGCAACCTAGGCTAGTGGGTGGGCCTCATGAGTGTCTCTCCATCTCAGTGGCCTGCAAGGTTGTTGTAACCCAGATGGTCACCCAGCATAAAGTAATTTTGCTAACTGCGCTTGCGTCGTGAGAATTTGCGGCATGTGCCATTTGAGCCATAGTAGAGCGTTGATTGACTATGCGAGCCGTGTGCTCCCTCTGCATCCTATGTTGTGTTCAATCAGCATGCACCTCACCTCACGTGTCCTTGCTTTATATGCATATCACTTTAGAAATACCAATAAGAGAAAAACGACATGGATGGAAACCAGCAGAATCCGGAAACCTATGTCTCGCAGGCCACACATACAAAATCCCTTGGGCTACAGGTTGCCCACCACTGACAAAGAGGAAGAGCCACCATGAGGTAAAACTTCAGTGTAAAATTAGTAGGCAACAGATCCAAGGGAAAGCATGGGGGAGGAAGATTTCCTAAACAAAATCTTAGTTACAAAAAGGGACAGGCTGGTAAGAAGTGCTTTAGAACCAGGGTTCCCAAACTGTGGACCACAGCCCATAGTGCTGGGTGGTCCACTGGCACAACTCTGTTTTCCAGTCTGTTCACGCTCTTAGTAAATCTTTAACTCCATGTGACTTGTGTCATCTATGTAAAACCTATATGAATGTAATATTCTAAGTGGAATATGTTGGACAGAGTAGAGAAGAAACTTTACTTATTTATCTATGTATTTGTTAAAGAGCAAATGCAGTATGTCCAGATTAATTCTCACAAGTATGAGGGTGCATTTGGCTGCAAGGTAACTTAGCAACATACACACAGGCAGCCATTTACAACTGTAAAAATGGCAAGCAGTATTTCAATCTGACATGGATGGATTTTATTTTTCGAAAATGAGATGGGTGCACTGGTGGAGAAGATAATGAAAGTCCCGGAGCATCTACAGCTGCAAGAAATGAAGAGTCAAAAAAGGGGGGGGAGGGACAAGAAAATATGATAACACATACTTGAAGTTTGGATTCTCCTTTACCTGATCAGATGAGTACCCTTTACCTCAGTATGTGATAACTGTTTTATATCTTTATTGACAATATTGGATTCTTTTCTAACCAGCAAAGTAGTGTTTGGCCTTAAACACAGACATTCAGATTTTACACTGAAAACAACTGAAAACTCAATAAAGTGTTCAAAGTTGGACAACTATTTTATTGGAGAATGAACAAACAACAGTTTTGTCAATGTTGTTGTGTGGCTTTTTGTTCAGTTTAATACACTGTGTTTTCCTTGATGGAACACCAAATTTTGCTCTCAACATTTATTTAAAGAGTAGTTTTATGAAACTGTTTGTTTTCAAAGATCTTGAAGGATTTCTTAAAGTGCCTGTTGCTAGGTACTTCTATCATTATAATTGTTTATATTGAAATGAAAAGGAAATATACATTGTTTATTTATAGTTTATATGTAGGTCATTAATTTTCATCAAGAAGTGTCAATACTGGGGCACTGTGTCTTTTGCAACTGCGTAAGGGGGCCTCAATGAAAAAAGTCTGAGAACCTCTGCCTTAGAAAACAAACTGAGGAAAGGAGAGAGAGAATGGAAAAAGAGCAACAATTAACAACATTTTTTAAAAGATTTCTCTGGTTCTCTGTAAACTGAAAATAAATATGAAGTGCATTAAATAGGAAGAGCTACTCTAAGAATTAGAGGCTGTTCTTCAGTTAGTCATGCATTGTCCACATGCCATGGCGTGTCCATTGTTAATAAAAGGTAAAGAAACTTGAATGTCAGTTAAATTCACTGAGCAAAGACAATAGGGAGATAGGTATGTAGACAGAGACTAAACAGGAAAGTCCTGTGCGGTAAGGTTAACACCCAGAAGGGAACAGAGGTAAGAAAGTAAGAAAAGATCTAGATCAGTGTTTCTCAACCAGTGGTACGAGTACCCTTAGGGGTACTTGAGAGAAGTCTGGGGGGTACATCAACACGGATGAAATTTGAAGAAAATTGAATTTTTGTTTTAAGTATTACAGTGCTTTATTATTTTTGTTCTTTTTACACCCAAAAATTTCATCACCCGGCAAGCTACAATTAAGTTATTTAAACAAATGTGTTGCAATGGTCGAAAAAAATGCTGTGTCTGAAAACTGTAAGTACTGGGGGTACTTATTTTTTTTAAAGGGGTACTTTATAAAAAATGGTTGAGAAACACTGATCTAGGAAGACTAGACCCTGTGGAAAAGTTAGAAGAGAAACATGAGCCATTTAGTCTCAATAGCTGTATTAGATATGCCATTGTTAATGACAGAGAAAAGGATGAAACTATGGAGAGCCAAAGATACATCTGTAGCCCCTACAATTAAGAGGCAAACACTGAAAGAGAGTCGCCAGAAAGAAATAGACAAGTAATTCTGACTGGTGACTCCTTAATTAGGCTCCTGGCCCAAGACACCTTTGGTAGATAAAGAACACGGTGGCTATGTCTAGACTGGACAGTTTTTCTGGAAAATCAGCCGCTTTTCCAGAAAAATCTTGCCAGCTGTCTACACTGGCGGCTTGAATTTCTACAAAAGCACTGACTTCCTACTGTAAGAAATCAGTGCTTTTTGCGAAATACTATGCTGCTCCCATTCGGGCAAAAGTCCCTTTTGCGCAAAACTTTTGCGCAAAAGAGCCAGTGTATACAGCTGAGATTTGTTTTCCACAAAAAAGCCCCAATCGCGAAAATGGCGATCGAGGCTTTTTTGTGGAAAAGCGCGTCTAGATTGGCCATGGACGCTTTTCCGCAAAAAGTGCTTTTGCGGAAAAGCGTCCGTGCCAATCTAGATGCTCTGTTCCGAAAATGCTTTTAACTGAAAACTTTTCCGGAAAAGCATTTCCGGAAAATCATGCCAGTCTAGACATAGCCAAGATGGCAATCTGCTTCCCAGCCCATCCACCAGGACAAAGGAGGCCAGAACAAGGCTATCCTGTCAAATATTATGAAATTTCCACTGACTATTACACCAATCTGCTCAAATTGCCAGTGATATGTGCAAGCACGTACATAGATACTTGACTTGATGCACAGAAGTCCCACTGATTTCAGTAGACTTACTCAGTATGTCTACACAGCAAGATGACATCCCCAAGTGGTAAGTGTCAGTAGACTAAAGCTTGTGGGGCTTGGGCAGTGGGGCTGTTTTACTGTTGTGTAATACAGATGTTTGGGCTCTAGAATCATGCATGGCAGGAAGGTTCCAGAACTGAAGCTCCAGCAATGAAATAGCCGGGTAGCTCAAGCCTGAGTCAGATACTATAGGCCAGCCATGGGTTTTACTTTGCTGTATAGACACACCCTCACTTAGACAAATTTCATCACTTGTGTAAGCCCTTGCAGAACTGTGGCTGAGATGAGCATAATAGAAACACTTAAAAATAATGCGACATGGCAACTAAAAAGCCTAATTCAGTTGCATAGTAAAGAAGCTTCTCATGGAGCAGTATGTCTCAATTTGACTGTAGTGTAATAACCTCTGGAATATTTCATTTAGATCTTCTCCAGTTACACTTGTAACACAGATAGACCCTAAAACACATTTTCTTAAAATCTGGTTTACACAGGTTGTCCCCATTGACAATAGCTGGGCAATTATAATTCAGGCCAATCTGTAGCTATACGATTATGCCACCATTGAATTTGAAAAGATGTGGTCAAATTTGGTTGTTTTTCTAACAAAAAAATGGCCAAAGATAATTAGGGAACTGCAGGAGGATACCTAACTTGATCCTAAAAACAACTAAAATGGGCATGGGTGAACATCTGTAAATACTGAAAGGGTGCAGGAGTTGTATGACTAGGATGGTAAAAGGAAGAGTAATTAGGAGTAAAGTCTTCCTGACAGTCGAGTCCAGAGTCGTAAAGGTATTTGTGCATTGCTGCACTGAGCATTGCAATACCTAATAGATATAAAAGCCCAAATATCATGTCCAAAAGGCATTTAGGCATTTAGGAATCTAAATCCCATTTGTTTTTTATGGAATTTTGATACTAAGTGCCTAAATCCCCTTTGAAAATGATATATAGGCTTCTGAATGAGTTAGGTATCTTGAGGCTAAAAACAGCAATCTGGGCCTAACGCAGGTTGGGGGAATAGGTTACCACAGAAAGTGATGAAAGTCTCATCAGTAGAATCTTTAATAAGCGACTGGACAAAATGAAGGGAAACTATCCTGCATTATCAGTGAGTTGAGCTGGTTGCTAGAAGAGGTGTTTCTATGATTCCAAGTAGAGCTGTCCACTTCCAGGTTTTTGAAGGCATGAATCCAGCTCTGAACTGAGATCTGTGCTGGCCCCATTTCTCAGTCTAGAGTAAGAAACTGATGGTGAATGTTTTCTGCAAAATGCAATTTTAAAACTTTTTGAATTAAGCCAGAATAATCAGAGTAAAGTGTTGTACGTAAGCTGAATATTCTTTAACAAACTGAAAGCACACGCTTCCTAGGTGTTTCTTTGTAGAGTCTGTCACCCTTTCTGACCCCTTGAATGATGGGGCTTTAAGGCTTTTTGTGATTTTTAAATGAAACAATAATCGTGGCTATCTTCTGTATCCATGTGGTAGTCTCTTAAGCACAAAATAAATCAGGCCTTTGAAATCTCTGGCAGTAAGCCTCTCTGCTTGGTCCTTAATAGCTGATTCCTACACATGGCTCTGACCCGTTGAAGTATAACCAGGACAATGTGGTGGAACAGGCAGAGTTAAAACTGCAAACCTTGCCTGCCCTGATGGTTTAGTGGCTATGGAGGAGGCAACATTGCTTCCATGCGGGAGGCCCAGGGCTTGGGAGCTGGCTCCTGGGGCTGGGGGCCCCTCAGAGGGAACACTGCTCTGCTCAGAGGAAAGTGCAGCTTTCACCGCCTGCCCCCCTCCCTCTCACAGCTGCTGCCTGGGGGAACTGGCCTTGCAGCCTTGGTGCAAGAGGCCGCCTTCCTTCCAAGCCACAAGGGTGACTGCAGCTGCGTGTGCTCAAGTAAGTGGGGAGGAATGAAAGGGGAGGAGGGATTCTGTACAATTAGTCTGCCCCATAGGGAAAAACGCTGTTGAAATCCTTGTGTCCCCAGGCCAGATCTTGTCCTGTGTTTTGGGACGATGAGGCTTGCCTGGTATACACTCTGCTCTCTTATAGGAAAGGGTGAGTGAGAAACCTCAGCGTGGACAACTCTTCTGCAAAAGAAAAGAAAATAATTAACAGGCAGGCTTTTAACCGATCTTTAGAATAATTCACACTTTTTTTAGCCGCCACAATTTTTTGAAAAATTCTTCCAGGGGGACTCAGACGTATATAGCCGCAGATATGCCTAGACCCATAGGCATATGCATTCTCTAAAGTACACAATACTGTGTAGCACACAGGTACAGAAGTTGCTACAATGAAAGATATTACCCTAGCTATTCTCTCTCTCTCTTCCTCTCATATTCTGGGACCAACAGGGCTACAAAAACATTGAAAACTTACCTAAACATATACACAACTCTGATAGTCACACACACATGCACACACACTGGCACACACACTGGCTGGTACATACACTGTCTCACATAATGACACCCTCAATTACACACACACACACACACACACACTTCCAGTATTAGCTTTGAAGGAGATACTCAGATATCCCTCATTTGTGCACCAAATCATAACGCAACGCACGGGGGGAGTGAAGAAGAAAGCGAGGGGGAAACATTTTTTGCAGCCCTTTCCCTGCCAGGAGACTAGTTTGCGGATGGAAAAGATAGATGTTGAAATAGCTCTGCAGATCCATTTAGTAAAGTCAATATGCAATTATGCAAAAGCCTATGATAATGTACCCACAGATGTTGCAGAGAGCAACACATCGGAATGAGATTGAGCCTTCTTGGCAAGGCGGGGGCCGGGCTGGGGAGACATGTGTTAACTCTTTCTTCCAGTGGGGGCTGCGGATGCGCCTGGCGATGGTTGCCCGGAGCCGGGCTCCGTTTGTAGCGTTTTCTCCTCTTTTCACACGCGGACACATGTCCCCGCTTCTCTCCCCTGGCTCTTGCTTTTCAGGTGGCGATCAATTAACAGCCTCCTGCCGAGGCGTGAGACTTCTCCCCTGCACGTCAGCCGGGGCTACACGTGACCCTCGCCTCTCGCCTCAGCCCCGGTGCCTCCGACTGACTGGCCTTCACTTTTCACCTCTGGGCTGCAGCCCAGCCCGCGCAGGCAGCTGGTACCTGCGAGCGGGACGCGCGTTAATCCTCACATTTTCCACACGGCCCTAATCCCATTAGCACACCTGAAATAATAGCGTCGGTGACCGTCAGCCGGGGCTACACGTGACCCTCGCCTCTCGCCTCAGCCCCGGTGCCTCCGACTGACTGGCCTTCACTTTTCACCTCTGGGCTGCAGCCCAGCCCGCGCAGGCAGCTGGTACCTGCGAGCGGGACGCGCGTTAATCCTCACATTTTCCACACGGCCCTAATCCCATTAGCACACCTGAAATAATAGCGTCGGTGACAAATGGCCTGGGGCTGCAGCCATGGCGCTGGCTGGGCTGAGCGCCCCGCGGAGCCGCATTGGTGGGGCCCGGCCCCACCGCCAACCGGCAGGCTCTGAAGCAAACCGGAGCACATGATTGAAGTTCTCCTTTGGAGGCCGGGGGGAGCCCGCAGGCTGCTTGCAAGCC